GGGGGATAAACGCAAGTGGGCTTTAAAACTGGTTGTATCACCGAGTAATGGTAGGAACACTAATTGTGCACCAAAATGAAGTCCTAAAACACATCATCATGACTTTTCATTACCAAATTTCAGCATGTCAAAAATCATTAACTTATTAAGAAATTAAATTAAGATAATGAAGGGTTAACCAAAAGCCAACAAGTCACAAAATCAATCCAGGAATCCTTCTCTACTCTGATCCCTTTCTATTCTACCATAGATGAGTCTCCATGGTACCGGCAACGTGCATATCTGACACTTAAATTTCCAGTGTGGGTGAAAGAAGCTACTGTTTTTAATTCTCCTTCAATATAACACATACTCATATTAGAGAGCTTGGAGGAGAGTGAAGAAACAATCGTGATTTAGCTTTAATTGTCATGGTGAGCGGACTATGTCTTCAATTTTTTATGTTTTATTTCCTCAATTTATTTTGAACCTGCTCAAAGTCAAGTGCAGGTTTATGAAGTAGTATAACCATTGGCTAAAACTATTATATATATATATTCGTCAAAAGTTGATTGTTCTAATAGTTCTTCCCTCAGAATTTTGTTCAAAAAGTAACATTTGTTGAAAATAAAATTTGTTTTTCCTTTGTCAGAATTTTGTTTAAGTTGATTTGGGGCTTTTTTTTTTTTGTGTGGACGAAAGTTGATTTGGGGCTTGTTAGGGATGTGTTTGGCTTACCCCGCCCCCTTGTTTGTTGTCGCTTTGTTTTGGGGGTCTGATCGTATCGCTAGACTGGATTTTGGTATTAGCTGGATCTCCCTTCCTTGGATTAGTTCTTGGCTTGTGCGTTTAGCTTAGTTTTGTGTTCTCTCCTTGCCCCTTATGGGTTTGCAATGGAGATTTCCGACCAAAATAAAACCATAATCAAACTCATTCACATTAAGCTTAAGAAGTTCAGATCAAACTACTTAAAGTACACACTTATATTGAAAACTTTCCCTTTAACCTTTGTTATGGAGGTTTTTTTTAGTACAAGCGACTGGGGAATGGCGATTTTCTCTGCATGTAAGGGTCTTCGCAGGGCTTTGATCCTAATGGATCGGGTTTGAAGGATAAAAAACAGCCATGGGGATGGGTTTAGAGAATTTTTCGGCTATGATATTCAGAGAAGGGCCGGGATGGTATTCTAACCCGAACCTACCCGGTCTAGAATATATATATAAAATTTTATTTTTCATATAAATATATTATTAAGATGAGTTATCGTTGTACTACCTCTCTATAATGATCATGTCTTCGACATGCAGTTTTGACATGTATAATTATTATTTTTAAATAGTGTAGATTTCCAGTTGATAAAAATTGAATTACACATTAAGTCTGTTATGTATATACATGTGTGTATAGACCAAGTATACATACTACTTGACCACTATTAAAGACACAAATGGATCCTTTAGGTATACTTGTTTAAATATTTAATGATAATGAGAAAAATAAAACAAAAAAGGCTTTTTTTAATCATCTTAAAGGTAGAGGTTTTTTTAATCATCTTAAAGGTATGGTTGTGCTACTTTTATAATGATGATCATATCTTCGATATGTAGTTTTCACATGTATAATTATTATTTTTAAATAGTGTAGATTTCTAGTTAATAAAAATTGAATTGATATATGTACATGCTCACATTGTCTTTTTCTCATTCAACAAAGTAGTATTTTATTGGTTTTTTTATATATTTTTTATAATGGGGTGGGTCGGGGAACCGTTCTCCAATGAAGGTGGAGATGAAGAATTCCCAATTTGAATATTGTGGATATGAAGGTGGGAATGGGGGAAAAATGAATTAACGGGAATGGGGTATGGGGAATGTGAATGATATGCCCACCCCTGATTCGACTCATTTCCATTCCTAATTGGAGGAGGGGGTTTACACAAATATTCATTGGATGTTTGGGGGTTTCGAACTTCTACCCACATCGTTGGAGGAGGAATAGCTCAACCAACTAAGTTATATATTTACTTGCCCTTAGCTAAGAAGTTAGTTCCCCATAATAGAAAAACTAAAACTGAAATTATAACCGAGAGAAATTGAGAGAACTGTAAGATATGCCTCTCTCTCTTATTCTGTTTGTTTAGGCTAAACTGTATAGCAATGGTCCGTGAACTATATCCCGAGTTATGTTTTTGTCTATGAACTCCACAAATAGTTGTTGTCATCCTCAAATTAAGTCCAACGTTGCACCGTTCGTCTCCGTCAAATCCGTCTAGTTTTCTGTCAAAATTGATCATGTACATGGCACGTGCCATAATTCTTAAGGGCAAATATGACTTTTTGAATCAACACCATCTTCCCCAATTGCTATCTCATACCACTGCCAAATAACAACTACCAGTCGCTGTGTCATGGCCATTGCCAAACGACCATCGACCACCACCACTGCCCCTCTCTCTCTCTCTCTCTCTCTCTCTCTCTCTCCTCCTCTGAGTCAGTTCAATGACGAAAATGTAACTCCAGGTATAGTTTAGCCTATTTTTTTTATTTGCAAACTTTCCATGTTTTACTCAATGCCACCTTGATTCCAGTTGCTATTTCTTCTTCGGTGCTGGCGGCTCCTCTTTCTTTTGTTTTATTTTTAAATGTCGTCACCACTTCTTCTTTTCTTACTTGGTGCGGCACTTCATGCTTTCTTTTCAATATCTGCTAGTATTTACTGGATCACTAGCCAATCCCCTTGTCTGAAGATAGTGAAATCTGCAACCAATTGGATGCTTCAGGCAGACAATTGTGCCAGTCTATAAATGGGCCACTTTGTTGGCCATTAGAGCCAGGGGCGAATTGCAGTCTTCTATTAGCCTAAAATGTATTGTGGAAGATGCATGGATGCTTTGGTGGAAGATTCATTGCACTGAGTTTTTGTTTCAATGATATCGCTTCATTTTTTTTATTTTTTATTTTTTTCTCACGCACCTGGCGCGGGATTTCCACCGACCCCCAGATCTGGGGCGTGAAATGCCAGGACCCAGCACTCATCGCTTGCTTATGCTCCTTCCACTTTAGTTGGTTATGGTTTTTTTTTTTTAAAAGCCGAAACAAGGTTTAAAATAAACTTCTCTTATAAAAATAGCTCCAAAATCTTACAACTTTACAATTAATAAATAAAGCTCTATCACTCTCTTTTAATTCAACCTCAACTGGTTTAGTCTTTGTCTTACCACTAATTCATCTGAAAAATTGAACAAGATGAGGAATGAGCAACCACCGCTCAGTAAGGACATGAGACCTTACCATAGTAAATTGATATAACTAAATTAAGTGACATGCAATTATATAACATATAACAAATAATAATGCACGAACAAGCTTCGATTCTACCCAACCCATTAATCTATATAATAGGGCAAACAAATCTTCATGTCCCATACCATGCATTTTACCATTGTGATTTTGAATGCCCCAATATATAAATTAACACCCATCTCAATCATCCCATAATTCCCCTTTTGCTAGTCATCTTGTCTAAACCATTAATCTCCAAGCCCAAATCACCCAATCGACAATTATACCGCCGATATCCTATTCTACTGTGCACACGGGCTCGCCCGAACTTGGTCCCTACAGTGGTCAGACTCAACTACACAAAAGATCCTTCCCATTACCCTCTTTTCCATACTTTCTTTATCAACCCAAGAATTCCAGCCATCACCGATAACATATGATCATGTCAATATTAATAAAATAATATAATGATAATTAACAACACTTAAACACCCAATAACAATAATAATCACATAATAATATCATGCATAATATAGTGTTCACGAAATTTAATTAAACCAATCTCTATAGAGGTTCTCCAAGAAACCCCTTACCTCAATTCCAAAGCTATTGTATAATTCTTAGTCACAAGCCCAAACATCTTAAGTTCCTCCAAAGTCTACCAACACTTTCGTTTTCTCACTTTTCCCTTCTTTTTGAAATTTTGTAAACAAAAGCAATTAAAAGAACTACTATGATACAAGAAATACAAAGGAATGCTATTTATAAGGAATCGAAGTTGGCAAAATCCATGTAGATGGAAGCTAAAATTGAGCCACACAACTAGTCTATGTTTTACTAGAGTACTTAGGTGGCTTGAAAGTAGTATGTCGCCACCCTAAATAGCCCCATAAGTTGGCTTTGTAGGGTGCTTAGTGAGCACTCTCAAATTAAGGCTATAAATAAGAGAGTGCAGCTATTTAGACACACAACATTGATCACTTTAGTTGACCACCTTATGTGGCAATTGATGTGTCATGTCAACTCAATTAATGAATGTCGCCATGTCAATTAAAAAACAAATTAAAAAACCCTAGCGTTCCTAGTAAGTGGACTCATCGCAACATTCATTAATTGACATAGCATGACACATCAGTTGCCACATAAGGTGGTCAGCTAAGGTGGTCAATGTTGTGTGTCTAAATAGCATTACTCTAAATAAGAATACATACAATGCTTACATCTCATGCTTAAATATTCCACCTCATGTTTTAACAAGATTTGAGAACTATATGCTTGCAACACGTCAACGAACTATAAAGAAGTTGAGGTTCCACCCCAAAATCAATTGGTAATGGGAAGAGTATAACTCTACTCCTTATAAGTCCTTGCTAGATTTCTTAACTTTTCAATATGGGATATTTTCACCTTCATATTCTCACATTAAGCTCAAGTTCGGATCATACTAATTAACTTACAAACCTATATTGAAAGCTTTTCTTTAGTTCTCCAAGAAAATAGTAAAACTAAAATATAAATTACAACCAAGAGAAATAGAGAGAGGGAGGGGAGAGCTCAAGAGAAGATGTTGAACAAAATAGAGATATTTAGTCATATACCCATTCTTAACACTAATAATATAGATAAACTTATGGGGTTTCACAATATTAAATCAATCCCTGTAAATTATACATTATAAATCTCACTAATAGGGATTAGACACCCTTGGGAACTGTGGTCTAGTATTAGTACAAAATAAGTTTGAATTGATAGAATGAGTTAGGGGCATAAGTTTTTAGAGTAGATTTTCTTGATTAACCTACACCATTTAATTTCGATAAACAAACCCAAAAAATGACAGCTGGCCTTATTGAATTTAATTTTGATTATTAAATTACTTTGATGCCCTATTGAGTGTTTTGGGTTTTTTTTATGAGGTTTTGGTGTTGGATTTGTTTTAAGAAATCAATGACAGTTTTGTAATTAAAAGAAGTTAAAAGTCTTTTTGTTAAGTTATAAATGGTCTTTGGATGTGTTTCTAAAGTCCATTTCATATAGGGTTTTTTTT